CCCTTTCTTCTCTAACACAGACCATAATCATCTTCATAATCATCTCTCCCAACAACGCTTGTACTCGCTCTTACTTCCTGTAATCATATTCTTTACGGCATCGCTCTTGCTCTCCTTCCTTGACCATGGTTACCACCACCGGTACTCCCTCTTGTCCTTGAAGTGCGCGAGGGAACTGCATCCTGTCTGCTCTCCTTCCTCCTCTCTGCCAGTCTCGATCTTGTCTGGCCCATGCACTTCTCCTTGATTCCGCTCTCTCATCTTGCCGACATAGAGCAGTCATCGTCGCCACTGCTGATGATGCATCATCATGCCATGGTCCCAGAGCCTCTCTCTCTCTCTCTCTCTCTCTCTCTCTCTCTCTCTCTCTCTCTCTCTCTCTCTCTCTCTCTCTCCCCCGCGGTCCCCCGCTCCCTCCTTCCCTCCCTCCCCCCGGCCCCAACAAATCCCAGCCAAGCGTCCGTAATCAGGAAAACCTGTGACAAGCGGCGCTAACAATCGTGAGAGAGACCCGCGAAAATCCAAGGTGACCATCCCCCTGTCTCGTTTCCCCTCTATGGCCACGCGGCTCCATGCCACGTCGTGCCACATGGCTCTAGGCCAACCCCTGACGTGCCCCACGGTGCTGTGTCGTCATGCCATCCCATGATGTGGCTTCATACCAGCCTGTGACCTGCCACGTGGCAAGCTCGGAGCTCTCCGTGCTGCCTGTCGGAAAGTTTCCCTAAAGAGCATGAGCGGATGGAGGGGACGGGGAGGGGCAGGGGGAAGGGGGAGGGCTAGAGGAAAGGGGCTAACCAGCAGGCTGACTTTGACCTCGTGGCTTCATACCAGCCCTCCCCCTTCCCCTCCATCCATCTACGCCGGAAAGGGCTAGAGGAAGGGGGCTGACCAGCAGGTTGACTTTCACCTCTGAGCTTGTATTCCCGTCCCCTTCCCCCTGCCCCTCCCCCCTTCTGTGACAACCAATGATGCGCATCTGATCTACGACCTTGGCTGACCAAAGGTTGACTTTGACCTCTGCGCTTGGATTCCCGTGCTGCGTGTCAATCTGGGCTGCCGTATCCACCGGAGGCGAGGTCAAGCCGAGTCAACACTATATGTTGACCCAGCCCCTGGTGACGGACATTCATTCAGTCTTGCACTTGCTGCTCGACCCTGGCTGGATGCTAGTGCTGGCACTACGCTGGCTGGATGCTAGCTCTATGCTGGCACTACGCCGGCTGGATGCTAGCTCTAGGCTGGCACTACGCTGGCTGGATGCTAGCTCTACGCTGGCACTACGCTGGCTTGTCGCGGGCTCTGCACTGGCTTGACATTGGACGATGACACTAGACTGCTTGGCGTTTAACTGTTGACTTTCTCAAAGTCAACTGTTTCTTGTAGGGCCTTTGAATATTGGTTTTGGCCCTCCCGTGGGTACCCCTTGGCCTTAGGCCTTTTCCCAGGCTCTTCTTAGACTTACGGCATGACTTTTGACCCCCGTGTTGCTGTTTGACCAAAAGTGATGACCTCAAGCCCACAACTTATGCAGATTTGAGGCGAGTTATTGGATTCCATCCGGCCCGATTTCGAGTGCAATAGGTAGTCATTCTTCCTTACTAACCAGCGTGCTTTGGATACTGGTTGGTTAGAGAAGATTGCCTTGTACTGCTTCTGCGGTCTCCCTTTCACACCTGTAGAAAAGAAACCATGGTCAGTTATTCTTTCAACATGATACCCACCGTTCATCAAAGGAGGAAACATTGACAATCTATTTGGAAAATCCTGACCTTCAATGTAGTGTAGCAGCTTAGATGCATGGAAGATGGGGTATGTCTTCAAGCGTGGGAAGGTGGGAGTATATCAATGCGGTAGGAAGGTCTACATGCGTCCCCGATAACTTTGAAGTTTGAGAACTTCCCACGGTCCAAAATAGACAGGCAACAATTTTTGATATATAAGAAAATTCATTGGAGTTTACCCAAACTAAATCACATTCTTGAAAGTGAGCAGGCGTGCGATGCTTGTTGGCTTGCTCAATCATTTCGCCTGGGCTTTCTTAATATTTACTTCGACTTTTGCAATATCTTACTCATACAAAATTGCATATTCTCGGGGTTTTGGGGCAACCTTTGTATTTGGTCCCTTGTTAGAGAATCAATAGGTCTTTGAGGTTGCCAACCTTTGTGTAGTGCATTCAGAGTTCGTTATGTTACTGTGTGAACACTGTTATTATATGCACTAACTATCTTAGGCAGGTTCTCATCCCAGTCCACTTGGTCCGGTTTCACATACATGTGCAAAAGGTGTTGGCACAATCTATTCATTTGTTTCGTTTGTCCATTCGTTTCGGGATGTTTCCCTTACAACATGGCTAGTTTAGTCCATATACGCTCATCAATTTCTGCCACTGCTCCCCAGTGAATCTTACATATCTATTAGATACGATCGTTTTAGGAAATTCATACTCGGAAACCCATCACATTTGGAATTTTTGGATGATGAGTTCGGTTTTAGCTTCAGCAGGTAGAGGAGTGAACATAGCATACTTAGAGAAATGATCAATAACAACCATCGTTTGACTATTCTTATTCGGACTCTTGGTGAGACTCATGAAATCGAAAGAGGTAGACTCATATAGTATGTTGGGGATGAGAAGTGGTCTTAGTTGTCCTAGTGGATTCTCATGGGGCGACTTGTTCCTCTGGCACACAAGACAAGATCTCACATAGGTTAGTTTGTCTTCTTTCATTCCTTGCCACGCAAACTGTTTTCCGAACGTTATCAAATGTTTTGAAACCAAAGTGGCCTTCAGTGTCATGACATACATCCAAAATCAAGCTCTTCACTGCTTCATTGGAGAGAATACGAACTCGTTGCTCACTTTTGACTATCAAGAAGAGTATACCATCAATCATCTTATAGTTTATGTAGCGCTCGGGGTTTGTGTGCATAAATTTTATTATAGGTTGCCATACTTTATCTTTAATATACCCATCTCAGATTTTATCTTTTAGTTCGCTTCCAATACTGAGGTAAAGAACGATTGTTCCCAAGAAGTCAGATCTATAGGAGAGAGCACCGACTTCCATATTATACTTTCCCTTGATAGTCTTCAATTTGAAGTCAAAGGTATTTATGATAGCAGAACATTATACTAATTAATCAGACAATCGTGATTGAGTTTTGAGCCACTTCAGTGTTTCATGGTCTGAGTAGATCTTGAAGTGTCTACCCAGCAGATAATGCTTCCATGTAGTTAGCGCCTGCAACAAAGCAAACAACTCTCTCATAGGCAGTGTCGTACCCTCGTTCACCGTTCACGGGGTCTGTGACCGAAGACCGGTCATGGAGTTCACGGAGAGTAGGTTTGTTTTTTTTTTTGTTTTTTTT